TGGTGGGACCTAAAAATTCTAAATTGATTTTTGTTCTCCTACGAGAATTTCATGAAACCCCTATGGGAGGGCACTCTGGTTCTTTAGAACCTTCAGAAGGATCTCCAATCTGATCTATTGGGAATGAATAAAGAAAATCATTCAAGCCTATATCTCCCAATGTGCAGTCCACCAACGAAGTAAAGCCACAATTTGACACCAATGGGGTTGCTGCAGCCACTCCCAATCTCGGATCAGGTATGGGCAGATGTGTCCTTAGATTTTGTTGGGGGACTACCTAAAGCTTGTGGAGTTGATATAGTTCTGGTGGTAGTGGACAGGCTCTCAAAGTATGCCTATTTTTTGCCACTATCCACCTTTACGGTGCTCAAAAGGTGGCATTGCTTTTTATTAAAAACCTTATTAAATTGCATGGTCTCCCACATACCATTGTTTCAGATAAGGATGAAGTATTTCTTAGCCATTTCTGGTCAAAGCTTTTTAAAAATGTTGAAACCTCTTTGCGGTTCAGTCCTGCTTGTCACCCCCAATCCAACGGACAAACGGAGATTGTAAATAAATGTTTGGTGACTCATCTCCAGTGCTTTTTCCAACCTCAGCTTAAGTAGTGGTCCCATTGGCTGCATTGGGAGGAATACTGGTATAATACCACGTATAAGGCGTCTACTAGAATTACCCCATTTAAGGCTTTATATGGGACTGATCCCCCGTCATTATTTCGAGTAGGGCATGGTACTAAGGTGGCGAAAGTGGAAAAGATACTACATAACAGGGATATTATCTTACAAGAGGCTAAAACATCATCTAACTAAGGATCAAAATCGTATGAAGTCCAAGTTGATAAACATAGAAGGGATGTCGAATTGGAAGTCAGTGATATGGTTTATTTGAGAATTCAACCCTATAGACTAAAGACACTAACTAGGCGCATTAATGAGAAGCTCAGTCCTCGATATTATGGCCCCTGCAAGGTAATAGAAAAGGTGGGGGCAGCAGCATATAAACTGGATTTACCTGTCAACTATCTTATACATCCTGTTTTTCGCATATCGTTGTTGAAGAAGGCAATTTCTGTTTTTGATCATGTCCCACCTTTACCACTAATGCTCATAGTGGAATTTGAGTTACAGGTAACACTATCTGAGGTCTTGGAATGGAGGAAAATAGCTGCAGGTTTAGTTCAGTTTTGATTCATTGGAAGGACTTACCCCTTTTTGAAGATTCATAGAAGGATTCTTATTCTCTTCATCAGCAATTTCCATTATTTAACCTTAAGGACAAGGTGCTTAAATTGGGAGGGAGTATTGATTCAAATCCCCCTAAATTTATGGTTTACCGTAGGAAGCATTTCAAAGAATTACACTCCCTTAACAATGTGAACAATGTTGACCATGTTGATCTGTTGCTGAGTCACCATCAGGTGAGGAGAATGTGAATAATGCTAACATGGATGCTGAGTCACCATCAGGTGAAGAGAATGTGAAAAACGGTTAGAAGGGAGAGAATGAGAAGACGAAGACGCAAGGAGTGTGGCATCTTTTAGGACTATTTGGAATTTTGGGCTTTTGGGAGGGATCAAGGGCTCTCCAACTTCTCTGAATCTATCTTTTATTTCCTTTTATTTTTACACTGTGTGAATGTTAATTTGTCTCTAAAATTTCGGTTCATTTTTTGAGTACCAATTTGTATTCGAAATTCAGGTTCAGTGTAATTACAAACATATTTTAGAAGTTTGAATACAAATGTCATTTTCAGTTTTACATTCTTTTCTGGAAATTGTTGTTTGAGTTGTTGTAGTGTCCAAGAACCAAAACCTTTTCAAGATTGTAGTGGTTTATTCAAGCACCCTTGAATCTTGCTCAATAGTGAAATTGAAGGCTGGACGTAAGTCACGGCGGTTGTGACCGAACCTGGATAAACATAGTTTGCACTTTTTCTAAACCTTTATCTCTTTACATAAGCATTTCTTTCATACTTGGCATATTTAGATTCATATTTATTGCTCATCATTTGCTTACATTAGTTTATACTCATCAAACTTTACTTATCTTTAATCATATAATCTTAAGAAATTTGTTTTTAAAGAAAATGAGACATTTTGTGAAAATATTTTAAAACTCAATTCACCCCCCCTCCCCCCGAGTTTTGAGGCCACTTGTCTAAGTGAGTATTTGGAGATGGTGGTTGGTGCTCGAGTTTGTAGGCTGCGCAAACCCATGTTGTGGACCACGAGACTTACCCACTCTTGGTTGGTAACCCCATCAATACTCGAAGAAGCTTCCAAAGGGAGTTGACAATTGTAGGACTCACTTGAGGGGAGATTGTTGAAAATTCAAATGTGAGTAATAAAATTCCCACAATGGAAAGGAATGGGCTAAACATAGCACATATCAGTGGAAAAACCCATTCACTTAATGTCTTAAGGTTTTGGGTTAAATTGTGGTGTCGGACCCCCTTGTTGTAGATTTATCGTTTAGGCCCAGTTGATGTATGGATGTTAGTCTTCCCTAATTGGACACCCCTAGCCGCTGCACAACAATATTTGCATGGATTTGTAAGGGAGAAACTAGGATAAATAGGGCAATGATAGAGAGCATTAGGCAGACAAAAGATGTAAATACAAAATGGAAGAGTAAGCTACCTCTCGAATGCCATTAGGACTTAATTAAAAATATTAATATAAAATTATTAAAGTGATAATATTAATTATTAATGTAGTTATCACGTACCAGCTTAAATTTTATAAAAAAAATCAATTCAACCTAAAATTTTAATTTGGTAATTGATAACCATATTAATATGATTTTATATTAATATTTATAACACACCCCCTCATGTAAAAGCTCTTGAACTTCAAGCACGAATAATGTATAGACTCATTTTGAGAGCAATGAAGTTCGAACCCGTAACCAACATAGGTCACAAACTTTAGTGATTTTATATTAACATCTCTAACACACTATAATTTCATTTCCTTGTTATTGGTTTTTGCAATGAACCTGTTGATATCCACAATTTCATATCGATTATGTTATCTTTTCTTCCCATTTATATTATATATGTTTATGGTTTTGAATCCTATGAATTGCTATCAAAGTTGAATCTACTTATATCATATTGATCTGGATGGCTTTCAGATCAAGAGATGCTGAGGGGGCAGGTCTTCCAACAGCATGCCCATGCAACAACAAAGGAATTCTAATGACTAATGATTGACAAATACAGTTAGAATATATATAAATACGATTTCAACTAAATGGGTCCATTTTGAATTTCTCAATGATCAGAATAGTCTTTTTATTTGTTAGGGACTAAAGCGGGTATTGTGAAATTTGCTAAATACCAAAAATGGTATTTACTCTAAAAAATAAGTGTGTATAAGATAAAATGTCTAACGTATTTAATTTGACTATGCTTGTCTTCAATTGAGATATTCAATTTCTTCGTGAGATCATTTTATGATAGGAGGGAATTGTGCATTTTGTTAGGGAGGCCATGGGAAATATTTTCAAGGTTTTATAAGGGAGAAACTAGGATTAATAGGGCGCAATAGAGAGCATTGGACAGAAGTGGGTAGAAAGTGGAAGTTTGGTGTCTCTCGAATACCCTGTACATTTTGATTTTGTTTAATCGTTTTTGTTTTCTCTAATGAACTTAACATCATTTATTTTATCTTTTCTTCCAATTTCACCTATGTTTGTGACAATCATTTCATATTAAAATTTCACGAGATCAGATAGGATGAAATTTTAACATAAGAGAATCTATTTTCATGTGTTTGGTTGAATCATGTCAACTGGTATCAAGGTTTTGGGAGTTATACTAAAGGATATTGGTTTAAGTGATACATACTTAATTTCATACTTAATTCCACTTAAGTAAGGTCTTGGATTCAAGTGCTTATAAATGCAAAAAAAAATTATAAAGTTAGTGTTTGACAACTGCTGTTCTAAGAATATGATAGGAGATAAATCATTCCAAGATGGTGTGTGACTTTTTGTGACAACCAAAAGTAAAATTATCAGAATAAATAAAGTTGATATGTAACTTGCACTCTCCATTTACAATGTTTATTATGTCAAGGAATTAAGGCATAATTTTTGAGTAACTGAGGAACGTGTCCGTAGATCAGAGAAGAACCGGGAAGAAATCCTACGAATTGTCAGATATGTCAAGTTGTTGCAAGTAACGAGCGAGAACATTGTAATATTGGGTCACATTGTTGGAGACTGTAAATGATACCTTTTATCTCAAAAGAATTTTGATGTATTCTCCTAGTCGAAGTAGGTTTCCTTGACAATATCCCAGATTTCCTTTGTTGTTGATTAGAACATAAAGTTCTCTAATTTACAAATTTATTACTTTGATCAACCATGACATGACCATGTGGTTCTTAGACTCTTACTTCTTGTATTTGGGGTCAGATTTTGAAGGGGATTCGTCAATAATGGTAAGGAATTCATCGTTGCCCTTAGGACAGATTTAGAACAGTAGAGGTAGTTTTCGGCATTGAGTTTGTTGCCCAATTATGAGTATGAAACAATGTTATTAAACCCGGAGTGATCATTGACTTGGTCGGAATACTGGGTTAACTAGTCATTGGTTCAACCATTGACTTTGGTAAAGTTAGAGTTGTCTCCCCAAAGGAGCATGGGTTTGATAAATAGGAGTAGGAGGAGTCATCCTCTATAAGAGAGGTGGTGTTAGAGAAGCTGCTATTGTGGGACTCATAACAAGGATTTTAGGTTTCTTTTTATGATTGAGAGAGCTCTGGCATCATAAAGAAGGGAGACTTGTGGAGCTATTGAATTACATTTGACATAAGCAGCAATTTCAAATCTATTTTCTTTGGTTTATTTGGCCTTTAGGTTGTTCTGTTACTATAACTTTTAAGTAATTTTTTTCTAATCCAAAGCACAACAAATAAGATTGCAGAAACAGTCTAGATTATTATTTAAGATTTTTTTTTTAAAAAAAAAAATCCCAAATTATAACATTACCTGATTCCAAGTTGCAAATTGAGCATGAGCTCATAATTTTTGTGCCCTTTGCATATGGTCTCTCCCTGCCTCTTTGATTTCCTTGGTGCTTTCAGAGTATGGAGTTGAGTCCTAGCATCATCTATATGTAAACCTAACAAGTCTTCATCCAAAGCACCCCCTCTAGTTGGAGTTCTATAACCACTGAAATCACCCTCCGCACCACCCCATATTTGCATTCTATCACTTGGCTTCTCAAGCCCTACACTTACCCTTCCATCCACTGACATTCTCCTAGGCTTAGCACCATCCCCTCCTTTTGTAGACCTCCACACTGCAAGTTTCTTCTGTGATGGCAAAATTGAAACCTTCTCCCCTGGACAAATTGAATACTCACTCAACTCATTAAACACTTCTTGAGGATCCCACTCAAGATGACCCTCCTCTGATGTCCCACAAGGATAGTATGTTCCACTTTGATCACTTGGATCCTTACTCCAATTCCCCACATAAAAACTTCCATCAGACCATTTGAAAGTTCCATTCCCTTTAGGCAAACCATCTTCCCAATACCCCTCATACCTATTCCCATTACCCCAAACAAATGACCCTTTACCCCAAATAGTCCCATTCCTCCATTCTCCAACATAATGGTTCCCATCCTTCCATTGATATCTCCCCTGCCCATCTTCCAACCCCCTTCTCCATTCTCCTTCATACCTATCCCCATTGGCAAAACTCTTCACACCATGACCATGTTTCAAATTCACGACCCATTGTCCCTTATAAGTATCCCCATTAGAAGCTGTGTATGTTCCTGTCCCATCCATATAACCACTCTTGAATTCCCCTTCATAAGTGGGGCCAGAAGGCCAAGTGAACCTACCTTTTCCCATTGTTTTTCCTTTGAACCATTCTCCAACATACATGCACCCATCTGTCCACAAGTATTTTCCCTTTCCATGTGGGAAATTATCTGCCCATTCTCCTTTATAGTAATCCCCATTGGGGAGAACCCTCTCTGCATGATATAGTTCTGATGCATCGCTTCCACTTTGATCATCTTTGTTGTCTTCTTCGTCTGCATGGGCAACATGTGTTGTCCCAAATATGCTATTGGCACGCTTCTTAGCAACTGCTTGTGTCTTACGCACTGTGGCCTCCCATGCCTTCATAACACTGCTATCTTTACCCATCATTGTGCTTTTCCTTCTTCTTTTTGTTCTTCTTTTCCACAATTTCTTCCCTTTTCTTTTTACATTTGGAAACCCTTTCCGACAAAGACTTAATCTTTAAGAAAATTCATGGATACCCAGATGAAGAAAATGAAAAACGTTGTTGTATCATGGCAGTAACATGCATATTCATGGATACCCAGATGTAGAAAATGAAAAATATTGTTGTATCAATGGAGCAACAACATGCATATTCATGGATACCCAGATGAAGAAAATGAAAGATGTATCAATGGAGGAACATGCATGAGAGGGGAATGTGAAATTTCAAAGATGTCTTTCTGGGAAAGCAAACTTTCTTTCTGATGAACCGAAACCAACGTGCATGTTGGCATAAGATTTTTGGTACCTCATGTTTCCAAACATTCTGGGAGCATGTTAGAGAACATGCAATGCGACAACTGTGTCACTGGCAAAGTAGGCCAGAGGACCCTGTTCCTTAATTTGGTCAACGTTGTTAACCCAAGTAATTCATTATGGAAATGTGATAATTCTTTGAACCAAAACCGTAAAAAATTCATGCCTCATTGAGTCAGAGGTGCAGCTTTTCTTACCATGATTGAGAGAGAGACTCGTTCATTTCCTACAACCTCTAAGAACCGTGACATATATGCACACAAGTGCTAAATCAAGGGGTATGTTTTACTATTCTTAGGCTATAACAAATTTTCCGTTTAGTGTCTGTTTACTACTGCGCGCAATCACTGTCAAACCGTGAGTAATTGATGCCAGGATCTGATAAAGAATAATGAATGGCAACGGTTCAATTGTGGTACTTTTCATTAGTTTAAGTGTACAACACTCGGAATGTCATTTTGGTTAGCATAATTAACAATAAATTCTAAACTTCATCTTATTTTTGGATAATACTAGTAAGTACTTATTTTTTTTTTTAAGAAAAAAAAAACTGGGTACTTTTTAAGTATTTATTATTGGTGAACTCAATTGTGTTTACCAATAATCGTTTGTTCAAGTGGTAAGGAATTTATCCCCTTAATCAGAGGTTTTGAGATCGGGTAATCAATCAACCGATGGATATATCCAACTCCGCCTATGTTTACGCAGTATGTCCAAAATCAAGACAAAGGAAGAGGATTTGCGTTAAGCATAGCGAGCCGATCGTAAAAGAAAGCAACTAATCTTAGGTCTTAAATGGAAATTCAAGTTATTTTTCTATTACAGTCATATTATACCAAGGTTCTGCGTTGAGTCTTTATCTTTTTATAGAGTTATGGATGATAAACAAAAGATATTCAAGATGATATATGTGTCATGATGTATGTTATTTGCTAATGATATTGTATTCATTGATGAGACCAAAGCTTGTATTAACAAAAAATTAAGAGTTTAAAGGATTTACATTAAGTCACAGTAAGAGTGAGTATATATATGAAGTGTCGGTGCTTATGCTAGGACAAGAGGTACTCGACACAAATCTCTTTAAATACTTGGGATCAATATTGCAGAAAGGGGGTGAGATTGATGAGGATATGAACCACAAAATTAGAATAGGTTGGTTGAAATGGCGTTTTCATTTAATTTTGTTTTTTTGGTTTTTACTTTTTTATTTACGATTCTTATTATTTTTTATTTATTATTCAATTTTTTCGTCAATTATTTATTATTTATTTTTTTTCGGGTTCACCGACCATCAACTCCAACTGGTTTGGGATAAATATATTATTGATATTGATTTATTATTAATGAATTTATGTTGATTGATCAAATTATCCTCATTTTAAAGGGAAATCGTTATATCATGTTGTAAGAAATTGGTTGTGTCATGTTATAGACACAACCAATCAAACGGTGATAACCGGAGTAAATGAAAACTTTATAGGGCGTATGACACCTTGTTAGAAAGAAAATTGAGTCTAAAATAACATACTAAAATATGAGAGGCTTGTAACCACTAAATCTCTAGCAATGTCCTGATGATTGAACCATGTTCAGTTATGTAAAAATCGTAAAAGTGGGATTTATGCTAAGTGGATTTATGGGAACCCCTTAGTGACTTAAGATAAGCATAGCATGATAGTTAAGCAATTATTTTAATTATTCCGCGTTTAGATTTCAGTTATGATCACAACTTTTATCATTACGTTTTATTATTGTTTTAAATGCCTACGTAATGAAAAGGAAAAAGTTTACTCGTATTTTTAAAATGAACTGTTGTGATTGTAACTGCGTTTAATATCATAATCAATGTTAACAATACCGGTGTGCAATTGGCTGTTACATTTAATGGTATCAGAGCAGTTTACTAAGGAACTCTGATTATGTATAACTGTATTTTGTGTTGCATAATTGTCTGTAAACTCTTTATGATTAATGTATATGTGATTCCTCAATGTGGGTCTGATCAGCTCTTTCCTTTGTGTTACATGTACAGTTATCATGAGGAGGATTCGTGGCAGCCATGGGACACAAGGTGCAGATCCTCCTCCGCTTGATCCGGTTACTGCAATTCTTAATGCTTTGCAGGCGGAGACGGCAGCAAATAGAACTATGACTGAGAACCTGATGAAAACTAATCAGGATATGATGCAGGCCTTCATGACTGAGATGAGGGATGAGAGAGCTCAGCATAGGAGGGGTGATTCTCCTTCTCACACGGCTACGGTGACTCCTACACCTACGCCATCTGTTACACCCCAACAGGGGGAGAGTGGGGCTAGTCATCATACTGGTGAGGCTAGTCAGCCCACTGCGGATCCTACTTATGTTGCTCAGACTTCTGGGGTTGCTGAGCAACTTGATGCTGGTGCTGCTAATGAGCGGAGACTCATTTCTTTCAGAAAACATAAACCTCCGGCATTTCAGGGGTCAAAGGACCATAAAGTTGTTACTACCTGGCTAATGGGTGGATAAGATCTTTCAAGTGATGAGGTGCTAGGATCATCAAAAGCTTATGTACTCGGTTTATATGTTGAAGGGTGATGCCCACGAGTGGTGGTGCAATGTATCTCGCCCTTATGTTATTCAGGGTGAGGAGATTTCTTGAGCCTTGTTTGAGGGCTTATTCCATGAAGAGTATTTTTCCAAGGATGTTCAGGAAGCCAAACAGGGGGAGTTTGATAAGTTAGTACAGGGTTCATTATCTGTGGATGCATGTTTGGTCAAGTTCAATGAATTGGTCAAGTTTTCTTATTATGGGGGTACTCTGCCTACTCCGAAATTTCTATTTGCAAAGTTTCAAAGGGGATTAAGTGAGAAAATTGCTAAACGCATGTCGAATACTATTGTGAGGAACTTTGCTGACTTGGTGACCTAGTGCAAGAGGGTTGAGACTATTTATGACAGGTATCCTAAGTCTAATTCTGCTAATGATCAAGAAGTTAAGAGGACGGTTGGTCCTTCTCGTTCTAACTACAGAGGTGGTCATCATCACAATAATAATAGAGGTAGGGGGTTGCAGGTAAGGCAGCCTTCGGGTTAGTTCAAGAGAGGTGGTGGCTAGAGAGGTGGATTCAATGATGAAAATTCTGCTCCTCAGTGTGAAAAATGCAAGAGATACCATGAGGGTCCTTATACTGCGGCTCCAAATTCATGTTTTAAATGTGGTAAGCTTGGACACTATGCTAGGGAATGTTATAGCAGCACTGGGCAGGCTGCGAATCTGCAGGCCTTGCCATCTGTTTCTACTGTGGGATGTGTTTATACTACAAATGTACAGTAGACAGAAAAAGCACTGAATTTGGTTAAAGGTGTAATTTTCATTTCTAATTTTGACTTGTCTGTTTTGTTTGATTCAGGAGCGACGCATTCCTTCGTCGTGGAATATATGGCTAAGGGGTTAAATTTAAAGGTAACAAGGATTATTCCCCCCATGCATATTACCACTGCTACAGGAGAGGTTAGTGATTCCTCCTTTATTTATAGAGATGTTGAGTTTGTATATGAAGGCAGTGGTTACACAATTGATTTGATTATCTTGCCCATGGCCTCTATTAATCTGATTTTGGGTATAGACTGGTTGTCTTAAAACTACGTAATGATTGTTTGCTGCAGAAACATGTTGATATTATCTCCTGAGAAGCCCATTGTTTGTGTGTCTCCTTATCTGTCTGTCTGTCAAACTGTTAAGGCCTTAAAGGCTGGTGATCTGGGTTATGTGTTCTTGGATGGACTTGTTGGTGACAAGGAAGAAGAAATTTCAAATATTCCGGTGGTTAATGAATTTGCTGATGTATTTCTTGATGAGATATCGGAATTTCTACTTGAGAAAGAGATTGAGTTCTCTATTGATTTGTTGCCTAGTGTGGGGCCTATCTCTTTGGTTCTATATCAGATGTCGCCACTGGAGTTGGCTGAGTTGAGGAAACATATTGAGGAGCTATCTACAAATAATTTTATCAGACCGAGTGTGTTTCCATGGGAAGAACCTGTAATATTCATGAAAAAAAATATGGTTGCATGAGATTGTGTACTGACTATCAGCAGTTGAATAAAGTGACAATTAAGAACAGGTACCATTTACCACGAATTGATGATCTTCTGGACCAGTTGAGGGGTGCTTGTGTATTTTCTAAGATTGATCTCTGGTCCGGATACCACCAGATCCGGATTAAGCCGGAGGATGTGCCTAAAACGGCGTTCCGATCCAAATACGAACATTTTCAATACCAAGTGATTCCTTTTGGGCTTACTAATGCCCTAACAGTGTTCATGGCCTATATGAATCGCATCTTTAAACCCTATCTGGACTAGATTGTTATTATGTTCATTTATGATATTTTAATATATTCCGAGAGTAAAGAGGAGCATATGGATCATCTGAGGACTGTGTTGCAGGTATTGAAAGATAAGAAGCTATATGCTAAGTCGTCTAAATGTGAATTCTAGCTATCTGAGGTGCAATTTTTTGGTCATGTTATTTCTACTAGTGGTGTTGTTGTGGATCGAAGTAAGATTGAATCGGTAAGTGACTCGGAACGACCTAAGACTGTGACTGAGATCAGGAG